AAGACTTAGCAAAGAAGTAGGCATCATTTTTCGTTCCTTTTCTTGTGGATCCTTCTCGAACCCTCAGTATTTGTGATTTCAATTGGGGCGCAATAATAAAATTAGAAGCGAATGTCTTCCAAAATTATTATTTTTTTCCTCAATTTGTTTTACGCATTTATAGAGAGGGACATTTTGGGGAATAAGAAACATCAAATGATTAAAATTCAAATTTGATTTTATTGTAGTATTTTATGTATCCAGTTCTTTTCTTTACATTGAGACGTATAGACGGACTAGAGTATTTTTCTATAACTTTGTAGAGGGTTCCTATCACTTTATATAAATATAATTCAGCGAGTTCCAATTGGTGTTCCGCGGAACACTAGGGTTCCATGGAAGAGTAACTGGCGTTCCGGGAATTACGAATTTTTTTTAACCAGCAATGCTTTTCGAAACCCGTAATTAAATTTATATCCAATTGATAACCATTATTTATTTAATATTTTCATTACTTTTATGAAATCATTAAATTGGAATCCTTGTGAAGAAATAAATTTTAAAACAATATTTTTGCTAATAAGAATATAATAAATGAATTATGTCAAGGATATTCATTTATGAAAAATTCCATGAGTATTTCCCATTCATTTTCAGTTTATTCATACCAGGGTTGGGTTTTTGACATGACAAGGGTATAATACTGGTTTAAACCGTCAAAAACTGAAGTTTGCCAAGAAAATATATAAACTTCAAAACTACCAACAGTTACCAAGAATTATATTGAAATTTAATTATACTATAGGTAATCAGCAGGTATATCTTGATAACTTTATTNACATAATATTACAAAAGATGTGAGCTTTCAAAAGTACAAGATTTTGGTTACTATTCAAAATATAAGTGTTTCTTCAAAATTTTAAATTTATTTTTTCTAGAACATATTTAGAAACACTATCCTTTATAAAAAATATATAAATTTTATGTATTAATTAAATTTCACATATGAATATAGGTTTTTGACATTTTTGACAGTGAGGTTTTTGATGTGACGGTTTAAACCATGGTTTAAACTGTCAAAAACTGTCACATGTCAAAAACCTGCCAACCCTGATTCATACATTAAAATTAAATTAAGAACTCGAATAGATGTCGCTCCAGACCTGTGAACTCAACTGCTTGACATAAAAATCAATTTTAATACGACAGAAATGCCAACTTGCTCCGGACAGGAAATATATATTTTAAAGTGGTAGTTTATCAATTGTGAATTTTGGTATAATAAATTCAATTTAGTAGGTTTTAATCCACCACTATTTCTAAATAATTCGTAGGCTTATAAAATTCACCACTTAATAGTACTTTTGTCATGCTATACCTTTTAAAAAGAAAGCAAAAATAGTAAAATATTTGCAAAATTTACTTGTAGTTATTTACCGTTTTTCTTAAAATTATTTTGGCGTGTCCGGAGCAGTTGGCATCTCTGAAACGAATATTGATAAAGCAATAAGATTTCATTCTTCATGCGTTCAGTAAATATTTTCAAAATAATTAATAAAATTTAGATCAATAATTTTTTCAAAATAATTTATAATCTTTCGTTAATTCATATATTCACAATTGCTGATGATTTTTCATCAAGTCTCGGGGTTCCGTCAAAAAAGTCCAATCATTTAGGTTTCCGCTGATATAACTAATTGGTTCCTAAAATATTGTACCAAGTTTTTACTGTAATTATCAACCAAAAGAGAACAAGCCATTTAAGAACAATTTTATTTGAGCAACTATGTATATACATAAAAGGAATGTTTTCCATCCTTTTATAAATATGCCAACAAGTAAAACAATAACGACCTCATCATCAATGAAAGATAAAAATAAATAAAAAAAATTAAAATTTGTGCTATACTTAACAGTGACTTAGTAATAAAATATAAAAATTTCACTTCATATGGAATGTGACTAGTCAGACAAAGTAATCTCTTAAAAAAAGGAATACTTTTACAATTGATATCAGATCAGTTAACTGTTTTGTAACAAAACATAATATTTTTTTTTTATAGAAAATGGGCAGATTTCAAATATATTCAATAATTCTACCATTAATTGGATGGATAAGATATTTTTAAATCACATATATATTGTACACATAGATTATAGATAATTCACATTAATGAACTAGCATGTAATGTTTTTATGTACAGATTTAAAAACTTTCTTTTCATTGCTATGACACTCGCCCTTGCACGGAACTAATTGATCAAGAGATAAATAAAATTTTTAAGAGAACTACTACCAGAGTTACATGATTTAAATCACTTACTTTCCACAAGAAAAGAAGAAAAAAAATTGGTTTAAGTCTATATGCTATATAGTAAGGTGGTGTATATGGTTTTTTTCTTCTTTAAACTGGATTTCCATGAGGATGAAGTTTTTATTCCGAAAATAAAGGAGCGGAAGAATGTAAGTTATGAATTGATTACGAGAACATAGAAGAAAAAAAAAGACTAAATGTAAAATTAAAAAATCTGTTAATTATTAAATGTATTTTAAATATACCTACTTTCTTCAGGTATGAGTTTATTCGTTTTAGAGTCATCAAATAATGAAGAAAGTTCAGACAAGAATATTTATTTTCAGAATTTTTTTTTTTTTTTTTTTTAATGATTCTTGCTCTTACTTTACTTTTTGCTTGAAATCAAACTGACGAATTGGATCAGTGTTATTACAATTCATAAGGATGTTGAGCTCAAATAAAAATAGTATAATTTATTCAGTTTCATAAATGAAGAGCAAATTGGATGAAGGGTTTTAAATATTTTAGTGAATTTGAAGGCGTTAGCTTCAATAATTATACCTTCCTCTTTCTGGTGAGCGAGAAAATAAAAATTATACCTTGCCTTCATTTCTTCAACACAAGATTTCAATAAATGAATGCTAACAATAACATTAATTTCTGTTCCTGTCATAGCGTCTGCATTCTTGGCGTTTTATTCATGCTGCCAAAAGTACCTATTAACATTATCATTGGCTGATGTAAATGCAATTTGATAATTTTTCCAGTCTGAAAAACTAAAAAGACTATCCCTTATTTACATTCATCTGTTGACTTGGCAAAATAAATAAACGTTGTGAAATTAGATGAAATTAAAATCTTTCACTGAAAATTCTTTTTTTTTCTTTTTTAAGTCACTTTGAAACCCAATTCACTAAGCTCTTCATACATAAATCCTTTTGAAGAAATCATCTCAAATTCCTTTTGAAGAAAGATACACAACCTCTTAGGTTAAGTAAAGTAGTTATGATCATTGAAATTGGTGAAATATGGATTTTTTTAAACATTGATCATGAAACAAGGTGATTGTATACAATTTTGTCAAAATCAGTCTTGTACCTTCAATCATGTTACAACGCCTATTTTAGTTTATAATAATGGGGGTGCTATATCGAGTAACAAATATTTTTGTTTATTTAAAAATAATAATAATAATAAATTATCTAATTTCTACTCAATTCTAATAAGCATTATCAGTTGAAACGAAATTTGGACAATTCAAGGGCTGTGTCATTTGCTATGCAATCATTGATAAACAAACTTTCAATGTAATTCAACTTTATGATTAATGGCTCCAGAAAATAATTACTTTTAAAAAATATTTTATTAAATATAACAGGCAAGATTTTTTGGACAAAGAATGGCTGTTAGAGAACTTCAAAAAAAAATTGCTAATCTAAACTACTAAATCAAAAAATCGCATATCAATCGGATAGTTATTAAAAAAACTTTTTTATTTCTTAAATTTTTTTTTATCTATTTCAAGGTTTAGTATATGAAACTGAAATAACTCATTTAAGAAACTTAAAAGAACAAACACATTAAACACAGTTTTGAATTGATAAGATATTTTAAACACATAATTTATTATGAGAGTAAAGAAAGTTAAGGGACTAGTTCCTTAGTATGGCACTCTCTTATGACCAAAAAAAAGTTCTTTGTATTCACAGTAATTTTAAATGGCAGTTTTGAATCAAACGTGATTTCCTTGAAAAATAATTAAATCAAATTCAGATTACTATTTACTTATCATTAGCACACGATTATTAATTAAATATAATTATGAATTAACCTAGAATGGGCATAAAAAAGCAAATTAATTTTTTTCATATTTACTAAAAGTGAGTATCTCATCAATTAAATAATTTCATAAATTAAACTTATAAATTATAATTAAATGTGCAAACATTATGGTAATCCAATTAATAATTTAAAAAAAAATAAAATTCTTGATATTTTTATTTAATAATTGTAATTAGAAAAAAATATTTTTAATCTAAAATAAGAGTGCAAGAACTTTTTTGGAAAAGTGGTGCAAAAAAAAAAAATTTTTTTTTTTCTAAGAAAAGCAGTGAAGAACTCAATCTTAACCTAACTAACCTATTTTATATTATCTTGGAAACACAGGAAGGAAAAAAAAAGATAAAACCAAAACTACCATTAAAAATTACATAGATTATAAATTACATAATAAAGATAACTGCTTTATATCTTAAGGCAGCATGATAGAACTACCAGCTACATCACAACGAAAATTTATGACAACACATTTGGACTAGACTATATTTGGATGAGATTTAAAAACATCTGGAAAAACAGGAACTGATATGATATATTTACAGTGGCACTAAGAATTATAAGTAAATAGATAATCATAAAACAAAACAAGAAAAATATAATTCATATTTAAAATAGTAAAACAGCAGACTGAATGACATTCAGAATTTTAAAATTAATATATGGAATGTAAGAATTGAATGTATACAAGGCTTAAAAAACTTTAAAAATAGCTTAACTAGCAATTAAGTTAAATCGTAAAATATCGAGCTTTGTTCTTTTAAAGACTTTCTTATTTGTGTTGACCAGAGGGCATCAAATAAAAAGAATTTTTTCAATTACATATATTTTTAACTAAAGAACTTTATTTTAAATTATTAGAAGATAAACTATTTTCTATGTTATCAGGACCGAATAAAATGATCTATCAAACTAAAACTATTTTAACTATTAATTGAAATAGTTTTGCAATGATAAAAGGTCTCCTGTTTAATATTTTAAAAAGAAAATATTGAGCTACTTATTCAATAAATTTAGTATTAATAAAAATAAATGTAGGTTAAAATTTAATCAAAGATGTACAAAATGAAGCATTAAAAGAAAGGAACATTGAATAATTAATTAACATTTAATTGATGATATTAAAAACAATTGAAATTCAAGAAGATAGCAGAGAGGGCATAAACTCTTAGAAATATAATTGTCTCTTGAGTTTACCAGACTAATTTCATCGAATGTCCCTGATTTTTTTAAGTCAGCGACATAAATGTTATTAATTTTATTCTTCCCATTATAATATATTTTTTTTTTACAAAAAAAAATTGAATTTTAAGGTTCCCTATGAACTTATTATTAATTTTCCCTGACTTTTAAAATATTTTAGTTAAATTTGAGATTTTCCTGAATTTTTTTTATATTGATTGAATTTCCTAAATTTTTCTTGTCCATTTCAATTTCCCTGTTTTATGCCCACCTTGGTTTATTAAAATAACAAGTATTCATGGGTATTTTAAATTGGATTTGTTTGGATGCAGATTCGCCTTTTAAATCACATTAAACCAAAACAGTAAATAATGATTTACCTTACATATAAATGATAAAGATTGAGGAAAAAACTTTGGCAGGAATGATATGTAAAAAATAAGATCACTGGGAAAACAAATCATAAATTAAAAGATGACACAAATAAAATATTATATAATGAATTAAAATATTTTATGTAGGAACATAAAAGTTAAAACTTTTAATTCAAAATTAAATCTACACAGACAGCATTAATTTACTATTTGACAACTTGTTAGTCCAGAATCTGGCAATCAGTTAAGTTACAAAAACACAAAAATGTTAAGCAGATAATTAAAATTTTTGGAGGGAATTAAAAAGCATTATCATGCCAGTTACAGGACTTACTTATGGTTGTCAACTAGCAGTCATTCGGTGAATTTTGTACCATAGAGCCAGTGGAACCCTTCTAAATTGCATCAACTTTTAAAATGTAAACAACTGTAAAGTGAGTCAACTTTTTGAACAATTTAGTTCATATTTTATCTGCGAGATTATAATTTCTTATTTAATAATTCTTTTATAATAATTTTAATTCTGCAAGAAAAACAAATCATAACAGATTAAAATTTTAATAAAAAACAATATTCAATTTATCATTTTCAGATATTTAGGGAATGTATTTACTGGGTCTGTTTTGACCAGTCTGCCAAAATCAAATTCTCAATTTTATAGAGCATATTTTATATTTTATGTATTATTCAGTTGGTATAAAGATAGAAACTATTTTTCATCACAAATGAAAAATAGTTTTTAAAACATTTAACACTAAATCATTTGTTTACATAAAAAAGAACACGAGAAAATATCTTCTTTTCCCTATCCAATGCATAAATAGGTTTAAACTTTTTATGTACTAAAATGATTTTAACCTTTTCACCCATTTGGAGCTACTTACACTAGCTTAATGATACAAAACTCATTCCTTTTATCTTCTCCAAAGTTGGAAATCGTTTTTAACACAAATAGTCAGTTCCATGCAGTAATCAATATCACTCACATTTTGATATCTAGAGCTAGTCATGGTATAAAAGATTCACACTAACATGAGGATAAATGAGATCGTTCTCAGTTCGTTTAAGTTTCACTAATTATTCTAGAATTTGGAGGAAGAATATGAGGGTAGCAGTTAAAATAGTTTATGATAAGTGTCACCATTTCTTTGGATAGGATACAACAGGCCAGACACTGTGCCTTCGAGATGGCGATGCAGTTGAAGTTGAAGGACGGGATGTTGATGCTTTCACTTTTTCAACTTCTCGTTGGACTGTGGTTAACTCTGCAGTTTTTTCTCTTTCTGCCTTCTCCTTTTCCATTATTCTGTAAAATAACTTTTTTGTTATTGGTTAAAAATACTTATAAAAAAATAAATTTTAAGTAAAATAATCTCTTGCTACATATTACTTTTCAAAGATACAAAGCAATGGCATATTTTGGATAGTTTAAATGAAATATCTTTAACACAAATAAATACTTCATTTATTAAAACAAATTTGGAAATATTTTTTCATAAAATGACATATAAGCAGATACTATTTAAAAAGAAAAATAAATAATAATTTTGAGTTCAAAATTTGCTATGATAACATTTTTGGCATAAGAAAAGATCATCTAAATATGTTAAAATAAAACAAAGAGATTTCTTTCTTTTTTTTTTTTGCTAAAACATTTTTACCATTTAACAAATATTTTAAAAAATTTTTGTAAACTAAAACCCTGTGAGGCAAGAATCACAACACCACATATTTTTCAAAATTCTAACTATTATGCCATTATAGTCATTACATATTTCCAAGTAGGGATGTAAGGAAGAGCAATTTGGGCAAATAGCAGAATATTCGGCCAAAAGCAATTGGTCAAATACTGAAAACTCGTCGGCTGAACAGCAACATTTGTTAAAAAAAATCATTAATAAATATTATTAAAGATTTTTTGTATAGATAAAAAGTTATAAATAGTTGTTTCAGATATAAATAAGTTCAGTCATTATTGAAAGATAATCATCTCTTAACTATGTGGCAAAGGAGGAAAAAAAAACTATAATAAAAATATTTAAGATAACAAAGACAATTAGATATAAATAAAAAGGAGATAAATAAAAACTGAACAGAAAAGATAAATAAAAACTGAGTAACTGCTAAAAATTATCCATAGAACGTTAGGAGATGTAATAACCTATAAAAATACAGTGCTATCATAAAAATGACATGAAAAAAGATTATATACAAAAGCAAAACAGAAAAAATAGAAACCGATCTTAATTTTTGAAAGAAAATTTTAAAGCTAAACATCTCAGTTTTCCAATTATCGTATTTTCAAAAAAACAAATGTTTTTAAAAAACAAAAAAGCTAAAAGAAACAAAAACTGTACTTAATTTTTAAACAATATTTTTTTTAATCATTCTGATTGAAGAAATTGAGTTACTTTTAAAAGTAAATCGTAATTTTTTTCACATTGCTGTATTTTTTTAAAAAAGGTGACCATAAAATAACAACGTTCACAGGGCTCATACTAATAAAGAATATTTCGACTGACTGTTCAAGGTAGATTTACGTAAAATTCCAGGATTGTTTTTTATTTTTAAAAATAACAAAATCGCAATGCTAAAAAAATTATTCATAAATTCTTTTTATTTATTTTCTTATTCATTACTTAACAATACGAACTCTGATTAGAAATAATAAATTGTCAGAACTATAATCATGATTGAAAGGGATAATAAGTCAAACGGAATTTACTGGGCGATTTTAAAAAAAAGAATCAAACTCTTGATAAGTACAAAGTTGTAAAAAAAATATAAATAATCTGAGTATAATTGAAATAAATTGCCTTTGATCAATATAAGAACATTTTTAAAAATGAAAACGAAATAAATAAATAAAATCTAACAAATTAGCATCAATAAAAAAATTAATTATGGAACAGATAACACTAATAAGACTGCGAAGCAAGTTAATAAGATTGATACAGGTTTAAAAAGAACATTTTTTTAAAAAAAGCATACTTTTAACTTGAAACATATATATTTATAAAAGCATACTATAACATAAAAAAAGAAACTAACAAACACATAAACTATCAATATTTAATTAAAATTAATCCATATTTATTAAATTAAATCAAATAGGATAAATAAATTAAAAAAATATTGCTTTATCAACAGACAAGCAAAAATAAACAATGGATTAAAACATAATTTTAAACCTGAGCTATAAAATAACTAAATTATCTAAAAATATGAAACAAAGTTTGAAAGTAACAAAAAATAAGGGGAGAATTTGTTGTGCCGACCTGGTGGCCGAGTGGTTAGCGTGCCTGACTGCAGAGCCGCTGGTCGCGGGTTCGAATCCTGCGCAGGGCATGGATGTTTCTTTCTCTCTGTGTTCTATGTCCTTTCTCCTTTGTGTGTGATNTTATAAAAAGGGCCGCCGGCAGTATTGGACAAATTCAAGGACCTATCAAGTTTTTCAAGGACCTAAGACGTTTTTCAAGCACTTTCAAGGACCTAAATTTAGCAAAAAAAAAATTCAAGGACTTTCAAGGACTCTCAAGGACCGTGGGAACCCTGATATTGACAAAACAATTGATTTAGCTTACAGTAATTTTCCAGGTCTTAGGAGTTTTTTCTCTAAAGCCAAATCATTTGAATAGACAATTAATACATTAAGAGACAATGTTTAAATTACAAAGTGTTTGATAATAACATTTTGCATCATAATTATAAGCAACATACAGGGCACCGGTAAAAAAAAAAAAAAAAACAAGCGACAAAACTAATAACATTAATAACAGTTATGAACTCATAACAATTATAAAAGTAGCATATTTTCAACCTTTCATATAAAGACAGAGCTCTTGAAGGACAATACTGTAAAGCATTAAATATAACACAAGATAAATAATTTCTTATATATTTTTTTAACAACGAGATGGTGCTAAGACAACAGAACAGCTTGGAAAAAATATGAATTTCCTGTTGTTCTCTCATTTTTCAGAGTATTTTCGATTTGCTAGATACCTGCCCTATGCAAGTTTTTTAGCAAATGCTGCAAATATTCTGCAAATAATACTAAATTGTTAATATCTAAACTGGTGCTTAGTCACTTTGCTTTAATGCAAATACTATATCAGAAAATAACACTTATCTACAAGGAGTGATCAAATGAAAAGGTACGAAACAACGTAAAAACATAACAGTATTCCGTCATGCATATTCCGTCATGGGAGAACTTAGCGAGACATCTCGGGATGCGATTGGAGTCTCTGACTTGGATCGGAGCATGCGCAGGAGCCCACATACGCAGAAGAGAGCAGAGGCTCTTATCAAAATCGCGTCCAAATGATGCGGCAGTCCGTATAAGGACAGGATGGCGTTCGCGTTGCAAAATTCGAGGAATGAGAAGCAGCGAGGTGTTATCCGATTTCCTCGAGCACAGAAAAACCATCAACTCCGATGTGTACTGTGAGACACTCTGATGCCTACGCAGGTTCATCAAGAACAAAAGACCGGGCTGCTCACGGAGGATGTGGTTCTGCTCCATGATAACGCGCGTCCTCACGTCTCCAGAGTCAAACACATGGAACTGTTCAAGATGGAGACGTTGGACCATCCGCCCTACAGTCCGGACATGTCGCCCTGCCATTTCCATGTGTTTGGTCCACTGAAGAAACACCTGAAAGGGAAGCTCTTCAACTCGGACAACGTACTCAAGGACGCTGTGAAGGACTGGGTAACGTCACGGTCACAGGATCTCTGGGAACAAGGAATCCTGCGGCTTGTTCATCAGTGGGATTGCTGTGCTCGGGCCTATGGTGCATATTTTGAATGAAGTCTACATTTGCACCCACCGTGTCGTTTCGTACCTTTTCATTTGATCACCCCTTGTATTAAGCAATATTGAAATCATGAAATTTAAATTGATTTCAGAAATAAGAGGAAGTTGAAAATATCGCTTACTCTGTTTTCAGAAGTTGGTTGTCACTTTTCAGTTTTCTGCAGTCGGCTTCTATCTGAACCCTCCACTTTTGCTCTCGGGAAAGCATCTCTCGCAAGATGGAAAGTTCCTTCTCACAGTTTTCAAACCTTTCTTTCCACTCTTGCTGTTCCTGTTCTTGCACTTCACTACAATTTATATCAATACATTTTGATGGTCAATAATAGCACATAAAAACAAAAAGTAATTTGTAAAAAAAAAATAATAATACAGTTATGATTTCTTATATCACAATATTCTGGATTAAATAAAGATGAAATTTTTCTTAAGTAAAAAAAATAATAATAAATAAATAAAATATTCTTGCAACAGCCTCATGAAAGGGGTCAGTAGGTTAAAGCCACACAATTTCTCGTGAAAAACGATGAGGGTGACTAGCCACCTTTGCTTCCTAAACAAGCCAGTAACTAACCATCTGAAACTGGCTTCAAGTCACCACTGGAATTAAAACCATGCATCTTTACAGTAACAGCTCAGTACCTTAAGCAAAGAGTCATAACGACTCAGTACAAATGTATAAGAGTGTAATGTTTTGACGATCCCTTTTTTCACCTATTCAAGTTTACAAGAGAAATAATTTTGAAAAATAAAGTTGGAATTTATAGGAAAAATAAAAGATAAAGTTACAGAAAAATTTAGTACTAAAAAAATATTAATCAAAAGAGTTACAACAGAGAATCTTTTTTAACCGCAATCCTAATGCTGCCGTCCATTTTGAACAAAAAAGGCTAATCCTTTGGATTCAAAAATTTTAGAATTCAAAATTCAATGAACTGATAGCAAAAATAAGTGGATGTTAAAGAATCTAAATATTGAGTTATTGGATAACTTTGGGTCAAACAGCCACTTCTTCATTTAAGTGAAATCAAATCATAGTGTAAGAAACAGTAAAAATAGGAATAATTTAAGGCAAAAAGATTGAACTGGTCATTTAAAAAATAGTAACAATATTTTATTTTTTATACTACAAGAAAAATATTTATTTAATATGTTTTACGAAGCATTTAACATAAAAAATGATACATTTTAATTAAATATAAGTTACTTAATTTTTTTTTAATAAGCTTTAGTCAGTAACTTATACAGACATTTTTTACAATTCATATCTTAGCATCAGCAACATATCAAAATAGAGCTGCAAAAATTATTATAGCAATTCAAAAGTCCTTATTTTTGTACAACAACAATGAATTTACAAGAAATTTCAAAAGCAATTATTTGCTGCTTATGAAAATCTTTTAAGACAAAAATATCTTTATAAAAAATATGTAGAGAAACAAACACAATTTAATTTTTTTTTTTTATAAAGTACTAAGGAGGTTTGAGTACAATGAAATCATTATTACTAGAAATCAAAACAATGTCAGTAGATTTTACTCACAATGAATTAACAAATCTGTTGAATACAAGTATTTAAACTTACCGCATTCTGTACATTTTCTCTCTGTATTTGTCTTTAGTTTGTTGATACTTTAGAGACATCACATCTAGTTGCTGCTGTATAGACTCTAACTGTTCTTTCAAGTTTTCTGATTCCTCTTTTAACTTTTTCACTTGTTCATCAGATGCAGTATCCTAATGAAGCAAGCAATAGAATTTATCCTATTTTCAGGTATTATCAAAGATTAAAAATACTAATAGAAACGTTTTAATGACAGATACAATTGTTTCACAAAAAAAAAAAATTATTTGTCAGTTTATTAAAAATATTAAAAAGAAACCAAGCAATATAATGTCATTGTTTGCCTAATGGAAGCATTTTCTCGAGAGAAGCAATGAGATTAATTTAATGTTAATCTTTAAAAAAAGAAAAATACTAGAAATCATTAACATAAAACGTAAATCTTTTTATAAAATGAAAAATAAAATAAAATATACAAGAAAGAAGAGACCTTTCCTAATGAAACAAATAATAAATTATATATTTTCTGGTATTATAAAATACTAATAGAAAAGTTTTAATAACAGATATAATTATTTCATGCAGAAAAATTTATTAGTTTATTAAAAATATTAAGAAAAAAAAAACAAGCAATTTTACTCCATTGATTGCCTAATGCAAGAAGAGTATTTTCTCAAGAGAAACATTGAGATCAATAAATCCTAAGCAGAATATAATGAAAAGGTATCAATCAATTAGTTAAGCATCGGATGAAGCTTGGTGAAAATAAACCAACTTTGTCAGCAATGAATCAGAAAAAAGCCAATGGTTGCTCAGGTGGTTTATAATTAGACTTTTTTTTCATTATATTTATACATAAAAGCAAAATTTTTAAACCCTTTTGTGAATGTCTAATTTACTTTTATGCATAGAAAAAGTCACAATACAATCCCTACTAAAAATATAAAATTAAAATTTTTAAAGTAGCAAACTAAATTGGATAGTTGGGGTGCTAAATGATTTCGAAAAGTGAGCCATTTTTTAAAACCGAGCATTCAAGAATTACATCAATGCAAAAAGTTATTTTGTCAATTAAAGTAGTTTTAATATTCAACAATTATTATTTATATAAAATGATTTGGACATAAACTGCATTAAACTTTTTTACCATTATTTTAATGGTTTAGATTTAATTTTTTCTAACTAAACAAAAATTTATTCTATTGAAAATAAATACTCATAGTACTTATGAAACACATCAGTGCAGCTTAAAAAATTTACATTAATTTTTTTAAAAATTTTTCTTTCCCAATCCAAATTTTAAATAACATTATTTGAATAAGGAATTCTTTCAATAAATTTGTCATAAATAAATCCTTAAAGGGACACAGGTTGTGCACCATTGTATAGATGCAGATTTTAAAATGTTTGTCAAGTGTTCAAGTTCAAATTTAATAACACAAAAAGCATGCACTTACTTGTAAGTTTGGCCTGTTGTCCAATAGTTTATTTATATTATTTTTGACACTCATAGATTCTTTGGTTGCTAATTGTTTAAAGAGAGATTCTCCTACAAAAATAAATCAAAATTTTACCTCAAAGCCAAAGACAATACTGCAATATCAATACTTTAACATCAAAGATTAAAATTAATAAATAAATAAGAAATAAACATAAATGAATAAAAGGGTAATAAACTTTAAAAAATGTGTAGCAATTATTGTATAGGTTAGGAGTTCTCAATATAATATTTGTAATGAGAAATTTATAATGACATTTAAAATTTATAATGAGAAATCAAGCAATGGGCTATATACCCAGATCTGCGATCAATCCATTAAACATTGTGCTATAGCTTTGCAATTGTGATTGTACTAACACAAAAATTTGAGTTTAAAGTATGAATAAGTAAAAGGAAATTCTTTACTTCTTTAAAATAAGTAATGTTATAAGTTCAGACAATATTATATACAAAAAATAATTATAGCAAGAAAAATTGCAATGTTAAGATGAGAGAGGATTTTGCATTAGTTTTCAATAGTGAGTAAAACTAAACAAATGAAAATTATAACATCAGTGATCACATAAGAATACAATGAGGAGCTAAATGCATCTTATTTAAGACACTGGAGAAAAAAAAAATTATAAAGATGTTAAGATTAGAAATAGGAAAACCATTTGTATGCTGAATAGGTTGAAAAGTCAATAAACTAAATGACGAGGAACTAAATTAATTTTTAATTTAAACACTGTCGGAAAAAAAAACTGAATGGAAAAGAAAAATATATTCCAAATAAAAAAATTAAGAAAGCAAAAGGTATAAAAGTCAACATAAATAACAAATGTAGGCACTAAATTCTATTTTTGTAACTCTTTATAAAAATTGTGGAACAGCAGAAAAAGAAAGAGGTTTTCTGAAAGAAATAGAAAAAAAAAATTATGAACACAAGGACAATAAAATAAATAAAAAATAATTTTATCATAAAAATAATAAATAGGATATATAAATAGTCTTCTGCTCTAGTGCAGGATGAGCTTGAGTGAGATTCATGCATTCTATATTATAAAACATAAACATAAAATATAGGCAAGAATATTTTGATCCTAAGAAGCATCAATATGCAAATACAGTAGGGAACCAATTATCCGGAACGATCGGTCNAGATTCATGCATTCTATATTATAAAACATAAACATAAAATATAGGCAAGAATATTTTGATCCTAAGAAGCATCAATATGCAAATACAACTAAAGAAATGTTATGAGTCCCACTTACTTCTAGCTCGCGTTGCTTCCCGTCTGAGCTGATCTTCAAGTTCATCAAATTGAGCTAAAGATTCAGAAAGCTAAAAAACAGAAAAATACAGTGAAGAATTTAAAAATGACAATTCATGGTAATTAGACATTTGTCTTAGTCCAAAGCTTGTTCTTAAATGATGGCATGGATTTAATAAAAAGATTAATTCTAAAAAAGGGTTTTCATAACCAATAGATTAAAATAAAAAAATAAAGAATAAGAAGGGGGTTCTGATCAATAACAATAAAATGCAATCCTCTAGTCCTTTTAGGATATACTTTCAGTTCTTGCTTGAAAACGTTTAATTTAAATTTCACAAATAATTTAAATTTGTTTAAATATAAGGCACTACTTGAATACTGGACTGACTCCACTTTTAGTTTCTTTATAGATATAGAGCCTTAATAGAGTTTAAGCTGAAGGTTATCTCTAAAATTACTTTAAATGGATGGAAATTACTTCTATGAGCATGAAATTAAAATTAACTCTTTTCTGTTTTTATAATTGGAAAACAAATTTAAATAACATATTCAATAAGTGGAATTCACTATTCAAATAAGACCTTAAAACAAAAATGTTATAGAATTTGGGTAGATTTCAGATTTTTCGGACGAACCAGTACAGGACCATGGACACACACTTTGGAATAAAAACTATGCATTCCCAATGTTACACCATAACATTTTTTCTTGTCCCCTTTACTATTTTCAGCTTATTTGACATGGTATAACAAAATTATTGTATACAAGAAAGTTTTGCTCGTGTTTATTCTCACCTTAAAGGCTAAAGTTTCATTGTCTAGTTCTAATTGTTTGTTGGTGCGTTCCAATATGCGGACAGTCTCACACTGTTCCCGAACCTGCTTTTGTTGCTCTTGGCACACAGACTTCAGTCTATCTACCTCTTCTTTAAAAGATTTCATTTCTTTATCATGTGTGCCATCCTAGAACAGTAAGAGAACCATTATTTTTTTTGGATTAAATTTTTTTTAAGTACAATAAAAAATAAACTCAATTATTAATATTTATTTACATAACAAAATAAATACAATGCAAAAATTATGCTGGAAGATTCTTTACACTTTAGATAACAGAAATAATTATTTCAAGGAATTATGCTTTTTTGTAACAAAAAATTGACAAGCTCTTTCAACGGGGAAAATGACTGAAATTAAAATAACTTATTAAAAACCCTTTTTCAGTAGATAGAAATGAAATGAAATAAATTCTGTTCAAAATTAAAATTTATCAGAATCAATAAATTTAGCATGTTTTACAATAACCAAGTATTAAAGAAATAAGCTCTTAAGCTCAATTAGGCTAACAATAAACATTTATTATCATCTTATTTTTTGCAGTTTACATCTTATTTTAATGCAGTTTGAACATTAATGGCAGGTTCAGATCAGCCCAATTTCAGATCAATGGACTCCAGCTTGAATGAAAAGAAAATGCGGCTTGTACACAATGCTAATCATATTGTCAGAATTATGCTATTGGTCACATAATTATGGAGCTTCAAGCTCTATGACCCAAAAGGGATTTTTACAAAGGCTTCACATTTACATTTAGTTTAATAATAAAAAATTGAGCAAAATACTCTCAGCCGCTTAAAAAGTGACACATTAAGTGTAACGTAGATAATTTAACACCTTTAAGTGGATTTGATGTACTTTAATATAAAATAAAGCTCTTCAATCGTGACTTAAATAATTCATTAAATATGCTGTATAACTATAGAAAACAAGTTTTAAAAAAAATGATTATGAAAAAGCATTATTAAAGCAAATACCTGATAAAATGCTTACCTAAAAAATTAAAATAGCATATTATAAATAAGAATAAAATAAAAAAATATATTGAAAATCAAAGCTATGAATTTTACGATTCAAAATTAGTCAGATAAACAAAAACCTGATTATATAAAATTCACTGAGTACAGCAATTTGAATGAAATGATTGAAGGCATAAAAGCAGATTAAAACAACTATTTACTGATATAAAAAATATTTCTTAAAAAAATAAATAAATGAAATAAAGCATATTTCTCTTAAATATTGCATATGTCTTCAAATTAATTTTTATACTTAGCTCTATATTATTGAAGACAAACTCTAATTATAAATCATTTAAAAGGGTTTTCTTTTTTTTGCTCTTTTTCATTATTTTAACATATTATAGATAAATTCGAATCAATTAGAACAATAAAAGATCATTAAAATAATTTAGTCAAAATTTCATTTCTGTTTTCAATTTGGCAAAACCATAATACATATATAACTAGAAAACAACATTATACTAAGAGTTCAAAACATTCACCAACTTTTTAACACATAATTTTATTCACAGACTTAACACTAACAAGAAAACACTCAACAATATTTAAGGAACTTTCTTCTTGGATAAGTTCCATTACTTAGCAATCATGGGGGTAAAAATCTGGTATTAATCATGGGGGTAAAATCAAAGAATTTTATCACACTCTTTAGTTGCCTTCTAATGGCAGTAGTTTTCATTTCAACATTTTTCCTATACACATCTGAGTATTCCCTAGAGAAAAGTATTAGAATATGTCTGAACAATTGGGGATTATAGATGACAGCAAATTGAATTTAAAAAAAATTAAAGGATAATTGTCAGGAAATTAGAAAAACACATAAAAAATAACAAAACACAGTGGTATGAAATGCCTGAAAAATTAAATATTACCAAAATATGCTGAACCCATGGCACTGAAGAAGTATCTTTTTCCTGTTGCTTGGCAACATGAGTGACTAGTTCTTGAAGCTTAATTGGAAGAGAAAAAAATGAATAAAGTTTAAAGAATACAATTGTCTTAATTTGAAAATATTTTAAGTAATATATAAACAGTTATAAATACAACAAAGGGTTAAATAAGAAAAAAATATATATGACGAATGTTCATTAATCTTATAATGCTGGTTCTTAATGTAATCATGCTCAAAATGTGGTAAACCAAATCTTCATTTAGATAAAAAAAATTATAAATATGAAGAAAAACAAATATAAAGGAAAATACATCAATACAGATCTAAATAAACCAAACGGAAGGAGAAAAAAAAATAGCAACAGCTATAGATAATCAATTTAATTTACTTTTAAATCAAGTGATGTTAATGAAAACTACAGTAAGTTTAATAAAAGTTTCACTACAATTTAATTTTATATTTACATTTACACCAAAAACAAGAAAAATCTTATATCTTTATAAATAGGCCTAAGACCGAAAAAAAAGAAAGAAAAGTAAAACAGGAAAAAGATGAGACAAAAATAGAATTAAAAATAAATACATTTTAAAAGTAATCAGTAAGATTATTTCACGGGAATAAAATTTATAAAAAAAAATACTTTTGATTATTAGCTGCTTCAAAATTGTGAAAAATATTGAATTTAATAATTCTGAATAAAATTTCAAAGCATAAATTTTTTCTCATAACAGGAGGATCAAGAGAGGAACAAGTCAGAAAATGCAGTGTTTAAAAAAGTTCTCATAATAATGGAATTTCACAGACGTAAAATTTTAATTAAATAAGAATAAATTGCGACATAAAAATTAAACACCTATTATAAATATGAATGGTTTTGATGGCTAAACTGATCTTGGAAAACATAGTTTCATGGTCACAACAAATTTAACTTTGCAAAATATTAATAGTGATTGACTTCTAATAAGTATATTTATATGTTACCACCAAAATATGCATCACCTAATAATGTGCAGATTAACTAGAGAATCCATTAAGTATGGAAATACAATAGTTTTCCTTACTTCAGGGGTGCAGAAAATGTCTGACTTTGTAAACGAAGTGAGGGAAAACTCAGGTAGTTCTGTGGAAGTTTTGTGTTTAATTTTTTTTTAAAAAAAAGGGGTTGAAAACTTTTTTTTATTGTAAAAAATGCTTTCATTTTACATTTTTTTTATTTATTCAAGAATTGCAAAAATTAAAATACAGTACAGAACCCGTTATCCGGAAATCAGAATTCGATGAATTTTCCCGCCATTTTTAAAAGAAAAAAATTTTTTTTTCCTCATAAGATTTTAGGATTTTTCTTTCTTTTTTGAAAGATTTTTACTTTACCATCATTTTGGAAATAATCATTAGTGTATTACTTCATTGTTTTTTCTTCTTTTGAAGATTATTTCCCAAATTTGTTTTCTTTTTTAGTTGGGTTTAACAATAAAAAAAAACAGCTTTTTGTAGCGATTCAGAAAACCGGAAAAATCAGTTATCCGGAATAGCGATGGTCCCGATCGTTCCGGATAATCGGTTCCCTACTGTAATTATTTTTCTTAGAAAGAAAAAGTAATCAAAAATTTTTAATAATATATAAACTTTGCTTTCTAAAAAAGATATTGTAACTTAATAAAAAAAATATATTGTAATTATAAAAGAAATTAAAAAATAATTATAATAATAATTGTTCTGAGAAATTATTAGGGCTTTGAGAATTTTCCGCATCCCTGATTCATTATACCTAACTTATGTGTACATTAATGGCTTTGTATTGTTAAAGTACAAATGTTTTGATTCTTTGCATCATAATATTTTAAAATATTGATTCAATCAACCAATTATTTTTTGCTTGTTAGATTGAATTAGTTTTATTCTTTAAACATTGAAAATAAATAACAATAAAGTTAATTTTCTCCATGATAATATTTAAAACTGCTTGATTCTTTCTACAATAGTTTTTCATTTTATTAATGATTGATCCTTACAACTTATTTGCTGATATTTTGATGGCATTAACAATATTCTATAGGTATAGAAAAATAAATAACATTAAGTAAATTCAGAAACATTGCAATTGTTCCAGCCAAGATCTTATTTGTAGTTGTATTAATACAATGAGAGTCTAATACTTAATGTATGAAATTATCTAGGCAATAAGAGAAATTAAATAATTTTTGACAGTTTAAAAGATCACTCTAGTTAAAATGCACATTGCCTAAAATAACTGACTTTTGTACATCAGCAGGGACATAAATATTTTTTTTTTAATAAGATTTAGGTAAGATTAAATATAAAAACTGAACTAATAGCGAAATTTAAACGGACCGCTTAAACACAATAAATGTAAACAAAGCAAAACTGCATAAATATCAATCTCAACCTTTTGACTAAGTTTACTAAGCTCTGTATTCAAGCGGTCATTTTCAGCAGTCAGTCGCTGAAGTTCATCTTCATGCACCTGCTTCAGCTGTTCTTTGACATGCTTCATGGCCTCTTGCTGGTTTCTGATTTCTTCCTCATATTCATCCCTTCAAAAAAAAAAAAAAAATAATGAGACATGTTTATTATGAAATAATAACAACTATTTTAATGTGAATAACATAGAAGCCGCCTACTCCATCAAAAAAGTATACAATTAATAATATACTTCCTCAAAAAAGTATACAGTTAATAATAATCATTAATTGACTGGTAAAATTATAGTGAAAGTTTGTAATAATTTTTCACATAAAATCAATAAAATTTTAGTAAAGCATTCTATATTAAAAATTAGGAAAAAAGAAACTTGTACACAAATTTAATATAACAAGTATTAGATGTTGTTAGAAAACTCAGTCCTGTAAAAAGAAAGGAACGGATGAAATGAGAGAGTAAAACTAAACATTTAAAAAAATGTCAAGATAAAAACTATAAAATTAAAAATCAGACTGTTAACTGACACAAAATGAATTTTAAACAATGCAAAATTACCATAAGAAAAGGTAAAAAAAAATTTGTTACATTAAAAGAAATCCCTTTAATAAACTTTGAGAAATCACACATTATATAATAGTAAAACTTGAAATGCTGAGGAATTAATTGAAATAAGCTACAAGATTCAAAGAAAATCTTCGATAATTAGAACAGATAAATAAGCATAGCTTAAAGATTTAAATTAATCTGGAAATTGAAACAATTTATATATACTGTAAAAAATAAAGACATTTTTTTTAACAGAGAAAGCAAAAAACTAATATAATTTAACTGAATTAAAACAAAAACCTGGGTGCCAGAACCAGATTTAGAAATCTGGGTCTGTAAACACAAACTGTCTGGGGTCCTCACTTATCATACTTAAAACCAAATTTATTTGTTTAGATAAAATATGTTTCGAAATTATATATATTAGTAAATTATTACATATATGAGCTTATATTGATTTAAATTTCTATTGGCAAGCTATTCTTAAGAAAGAAAGAAAATAAAATTGAGGGGCTCCAGGCTAGGTCCTCTTGCGTTCCCTGATAAGTCAGGAACTGCAGAAGTGTGGAAAAGTTTAATAGAAAAGACAAGTCACATCAAAATATACAAATAAAAATACTATAAATAAAATGTAAACAAACAACTAACTTCTGCCTTTCAAGTATCCTTTGAATATAAGGAGAACTCAGTTTTAAGCAGTCTGGAAGATTGGACGAAATGCGAATCAGTTGCTCACACTTTCTACGTAAAACCATTTCTTGTTCTAATTTGGTTTGCAAACGAGTCCTTAAATCTAATAAATAGGCAAATTTTTCTATAACACTAAGTTCTAAAATTTCAGAGAGTCCTTCCTCTTGAATCATGCGGCCGATTTCCTCACTGACCATTCGTCCAGAATTCTGTCCAGTAAAGTTGAGCTGTTCATGAAATATTTTATTCTCTTCTTCCAGGCGGGATACTTTAACCTCCCAAGCATTGCACATCTGTTCCATGCAGCTACGGATCTCCTTTAAAAAAAAAATAATACATTTCTTAGGTAAACCCAGCATGATAAATATTATAAGTTTTGGAGGGGAAAATTGATTTTATTACCATGAAGTAAATTTAAACTATCATAGCTCCTAACATTTATTACATAAGATATGGATATTAAAATAAAACATAAACTCAACTTCTGTTAATGTTGAAAAACTTTTAGTAACATATGTTTCATACTGAGTATTGATTAATCAAAAAGTTCTCCATTACTTTATTTATTATAACAATATGTAAGAAAATTTAAATTTACTTTGAAAACATAGGATTTTAAAATGGTTGATGAGAAAAAATTTAGAGTTAAAAAAAAATTTTAAGCACAGAAAATTGTATACAGGAGGCAACAGAATGGCAATATAATGATAAACCAAAAATTAAAATTGCAATAAGATGTTTTTGTGTATTATTCTATGTATATGTTATCTTTACATACTAGTGGAGTGTTATCTAGAGGAGTTCCAAAGAACTTTTAGAGTACTTATCTGGAAACAATACCAAGGAATATTTTGATAAAAAAAATTATGCCTTAAAAAATGCTAGATTGCTCAAAGCCATTCATTTATAGTCAGTGCAATTACAATAGACACATAAAATGCAATTAAGTTCCTAATCTTTATTTTTTTATTCTCAACATGTTACAAAATTCCTTAATTTGTAAATGCTATATTTACAGACTTTAAATACATCACAATTTTAAAAACAAAATTCATCAGTTTAAATAATTATTGTTAAATCTACTCTTTGCTATATTTTAGTAAATATTAAAAACTTTCAATTTTTAAAAAAATTAAATACTGTACATCATAGACATTATTATGCATAACATATTCAGCTGCAACTTCAATTCAACATACATCACATTTTTTCTGCATGTTGCACTGAAGATAATTTTCCGATATTACATTGACACCTGCATGAAATATTTAAAAAAATGAAATATATTGATTTGTAAATTTTAACATTAGCTTTTGATCTTTATTATCATATTAATTTTATGGTGGTTTTTAAGGGTTTTGAGCACTTTTTAACACTTATCATGCCAAAAAACTAGTTTTTGACACCATAAACCCAACCCTGTTAGTAAGTAATAATCCAAGATATACCTCCAATTCATCAGACTGTCTCCTACTGAGCTTGTCCAACTGATGCCGAAGAGATATGCAATTTGTTTCTGCATCCACCAGCCACCGCCATACGTAAAGAAGCTTACTGTCATCTGGGAGGTTTGTGTCGAGGCCCTCTTCTCGGAAGCGTTGTAGAATTTCATCCCATTCATCTTCATTCTGAAAACGTTAATAGAAATTCATAATATGAGATAACAGAAATATTAGATACAGTAGGGAACCGATTATCCGGAATGATCGGGACCCTCGCTATTCCGGATAACAGATTTTTCCGGTTTTCTGAATCGATACAAAAAGCCATTTTTTTACTGTTAAACCCAATTAAAAAAAAAAAAAAATAGTTGGAAATAATCTAGAAAAGAAGAAAAAACGATAAAGTAACACACTAATGATTATTTCCAAAATGGTGGTAAGGTAAACATCTTTCAAAAAAGAAAGAAAAATCCTAAAATCTTATGAGGAAAAAAAAAATTTTTTTTAAAAAATGGGGGGGGAAATTTATTGAATTTCGTTCCGGTTTTTTAGTTTTCTGATTTCCGGATAACGGGTTCTGTACTGTAAATAGAACAAGGACGGAAGACAAAATAGATTAAAATTTTGTTAAAGGAAACATATTTTTTTTACTGTTTAAGAAGCTTTTATTTACTTCACAACTGGTATCAGGAGTCTGTCTAGGTTTGTCTGAGAGGTACCTATTTTGTGAAAATTTAGCCATAATTTGTGAAAATTAAAAATTATATTAAAAATCAGCACAAAAATATGGATTTATCATTTCCTATGAGATACAAAGAAGAAAATGTATTTTGTGAAACTACCATTTTTCCCAACGTTGAATTTGTGAAAGTACCGCTAAACGGTAGTAAATTTGGCCTGGAAGGACCCCTGGGTATAGTATCAAAAAATTTGTAAAATAGGTTTTATTGTGCATGTTATGGTTTAACATTTTCAAAACTCCTAATCCTACCCAAAATTGGTAAAATATTTCAAATGGAATTGAAATAAGAGTAGAAACAATACAAATTTTACTCCAACAGTACANAAAAAATCAAAAAAAAAAAAAAAAAAAAAAACTGAATTTGGAACATGACTAAATCAATAAAATGCTTCAATTATGTTTAACAAAGCATTAAATAAATTTTACTGCTTATTAATTTTTTTATAAAAAGTTTAGAGTTTTTAAATAGTAAAGAATGAAAAATGAAGGAGAAGGAAAAACAAGAAGAAAACAAATTTATAACTTCCTAAATTAATATTAATTTCATGCAGCACGCTAGTCCAATAAAGTTATTTATCGAGTTGAGAAATTCATTATATTTATTAGTTTTAAGAAACTAAGGCTATTTTTGGACATATATTTTAACATTTAATACAATATCTTATTTTACAGTATTCATATGAAGTAAATAATTAATAAATTTATAAACCATTATAATTGAAATAATTGTAGTAAAATAATTTTTCAATCAAAATATCTTGTATGTTCACAGAAGTCCATTTAAAAAAAATATTAACATTACTCCTAATATTACAATAATTCTCAAGGTTCTAAAACACTCTCAGTAAAAGCTGTGAAAAATAAAGGTTACAAAATGTTTTATGTTCTAGCTCTTTTTTTTAAATTTTTTTGATAATGATGAAATTGTGCAGTTAATTTTTCCTTAAAAGACTAAGGACGATTTTGAATAAAATACATTAATAATGTTCATTAATAAGTACTCTTTTTCAAGCATATATTTTAATAATATAGTTCATTATAACATTATTTAGTATATTAGAATGACATAATTATAGTAAAATACTCCTACTTAATGCATTGTACAAACAATTTCCATTAAATCTGTAAGTGCAGCATAAACAGCAAAAATATCAATTTTGAATAAAATACCTTAATAATGTTCATTAATAAGTACTCTTTTTCAAGCATATATTTTAATAATATAGTTCATTATAACATTATTTAGTATATTAGAATGACATAATTATAGTAAAATACTCCTACTTAATGCATTATACAAACAATTTCCATTAAATCTGTAAGTGCAGCATAAACAGCAAAAATATCAACAAAAAAGATCTAATATAAAACAATGATAAACCGCATTTATTGTTTTAAAAGAGAACAAATAATGGGGTAGGCATCGATTTTAATTCATTTCTAATAATAATGTTTTTCACAATAGTGATTGCTACTAAATATTTATTATGAGAAATAGTTAATTAACAATTGAAATTTGTTTTTAAAAATAGAAGTGAAACTTAAAACAAGAAATCTATCAAATCAATTTCCTCACTAATTTAATACCATTCGTATTGTTTCACAAGCTAAAAAATTAGTAAATGGACGCCTAAAAAAATAAAATTTAATCATTATTCTTTCTCATGTTATAGTTATTTTAAGAGCAAGCCTAATATATTAACACATAGCCTATGAATTCATTGACCACTAGCAAAATTTAATAATAGGATATATGTATTATGAAAAATATAATACAATTGAATTATAAAATATATAATTTAATTTTAATTATGTTAAAAAATTGCTTTAACTAATAAATATATCTGGCATGTTATTAAAATAAGTGTAGGATAACATAAATTTAATACCATTCGTTTTATTAACTTGCTTCACAATAAGCAAAATAAATAAAGAATAAATGGACTCTTTAAAAAAAAAAGAATATAATTATCATTCTTTCTCATGTTCAATTTCATATACATATTTTAAAAACAAACCTAAAATGTATTAACAGTCTAAGAATTCATTAACCACTAGAAAAGATTAATAATAGGATATAAAAATTATAATAGAATTTTAATAATGTTAAAAAAAATTGCTTTAACTAACAAATATATCTGGCATGTTATCACACAAAATATAAGTGTAGGATAACATAAATTTAATACCATTTGTTTTATTAACTTGTTTCAGAATAAGCAAAATAAGTAAATAAAGAATAAATGGACTCTTTAAAATAAGAATATACTTATCATGTTCAATTTCATACATGCATTTTAGAAACAAACCTAAAAGATATTAACAGTCAGGATTCATTAACCACTAGAGAACTAAATAATAGGATATAAAAATTATAATAGAATTTTAATAATGTTAAAAAAATTGCTTTAACTAATAAATATACCTGGCATGTTATCACGCAAAATATAAGTGTAAGATAACATAAATTTAATACCATTCGTTTTACTAACTTGTTTCAGAATAAGCAAAATAAATAAATAAAGAATAAATGGACTCTTTAAAAAAAGAATATACTCATCATGTTCAATTTTATATATGTATTTTAAAAACAAACCCAAAATATATTAACAGTCTAAGGATTCATTAACCACTAGAAAAGCTTAAGAATAGGATATAAAAATTATAATAGAATTTTAATAATGTTAAAAAATTGCTTTAACTAACAAATATATATGGCATGTTAATAAAATATAAGTGTAGGATAACATAAAGTTAGTAGGACCATTCGTTTTATTAGCTTGTTTATCAATTAGCAAAATAAATAAAGAATAAATGGACGCTTTATAAAAAGAATATAATCATCATTCTTTCTCATGTTCAATTTCATATAAGTATTTTAAAAACAAACCTAAAATACATTAACAGTCAAAGGATTCATTAAACACTAGAAAAGCTTAATAATAGGATATAAAAATTATAATAGAATTTTTACATTGTTAAAAAAATTGCTTTAACTAATAAATATATCTTGCATATGATCAAAATATATATGCAAGATGATGTAGTATTTATAAACCAATAAATATAAAAAGCAAAAAATTCGAAATTTCCAAACACAGCAGTCATTTGTTTGTTAATTGGAAATACTTAGTTTATTAATGCTTGCCATACATTCTAACTATACATAACGAAAAATATAGTAGATTATACAAATATAGTACAATATTTTAAAATCAATAATAACATATTTTTGCGCAAGCCAGCAATTAAAAATATATGCGTATGTTCGGAATAGTTAATATTAAAAATTGAAGATTAAGTTCAAAGCATTTCGGAAATGTACAGCATTAAATTAATATTAATGGAAGATGTGGATGCAAAAGAAAGGTAGGGGAGCGGACGGCATTTTTTTTAATAATCAGAAAACGAATGATAACATCAATAAATTAAATACCCCACCATGTTTTTGTAAACGGTACGCTCTTTTAGGTCTTCGCCTCCATCGATGAGAGCAGCCGGTACATCACACTGTTGGTTACCCGTTGTTGTGAGGAGTAAAAAACCCAGCAGACAAAGATATTCAAAAACTCGATCACTTTATCCACACGTTCTTGCAGTGACAGATGTGTAGCTGGGAAGCCCTCATGCTTTTGTTGCAGTATAAACACATTCAATAAGCAGTGAAGTCTTCACTTCCTCACGTAAATGGGGAAATGTTGCCATCTGCGCGCGATCTTTCTGAGGCGCAGGAAAGGGTGCCAAAAATCACGCCAAGTTGGGATTAGGGCGGGAAAACACCACAGCTAGCGTGATGGGATAAAATAATTGCAGCTAAATTACAATTTATTCTAGATTTTCGTAGAAATATCAATTGGATTTATTTTTGGAAACACGTTTAGCTTTATTCGATATATATACTAAAAGTAAAGAAGAATTTTTACTTATTAATATTTTTTTCCTTTTTACTATTTAGAAATGTTTTTGTTGCAAAATTTAAAAATTATGATCCAACAGAACATGAAACAGTACTAAAAAGGAGATTCTAAAACAAATAAGTAAAAAATATTAAAACTATTTAACTAAATCTGTTTGACAGTTCAATAAAAAAAAAAGTAAATTTTTTAAACTTTTTTAAAAATTTGTTTTTTCCTCTTTAGCATAGCGTTAAAATTTATACATATTACGTAACCGAACTAAACCATAGTTTTTTATTCTTTTATTATTTTTTATTTTACTGCGTGAAATATGGCATAAATAACATTTCGACAGAAATAGTACCTTTAAATAACATATTTTATACCATGCAAAATTTCCTTTAAAATCTATATGACTAACGCTCTGAAAAATTTAAAGTAAAAAACATTCTACAAAGAATTTTTATCTATTTAATTTAATGTTCTCCTTTTCATTGTTTTATACTTAGGTTTAAAAAAATATGTACAATTTATATAAAATAAAGAAATGTCATTAAATTAATTAATCAAAACATCAAAAAAAATAGCACACATTCAAAAATAAATAAATAAATAAAAATGAATAAATAAAAATAAATAATATAATCGAACCTAACTTATTAAACAAATTTTTTCATATTTCTTAATATATCATTTTAATCATATCACTCAAGAGATAATTGCAAAAATAAATAAATAAGTAAATAAATAAATAAGTATATAAATAAATAAGTAAATAAGTAAAAGAATAAAAAATATATAATAAAAACTGCAGCTTTGAAAGAACTGTTTCATTTCTTTTTTTCTTTTTTTTCTTTAACATTTGCTACATGTATGTGACATCATGTACTATAAACTTTATATAATTTTAAAACATAATATGATGATAAAAAAGATTTCTAAGATTCATATTTTATTGATTGAATTTTCAATTTAAGGATGCTGGAACTTAACACGGCAAAAACTACTTCTAACTCGAAATTAAAAACAAAAGATGCTTTTGCATATTAACAAAATCAGATTAGCTAAAAACTATGTCTGACTTAACAAACGAAAAAAAAAGCACAAGAAAAAGCAGCAAAAAAGATGATCTTGGTCATGAAATTATTTGTATCATATCGTTTAAATCAATATTAGTCTTAAAACTGGGTTTTTCGTCAGACAGGTGAGTTCTTAGGGTTAGAGCAGCATCTAGTTTAATTCTTAATTTGATTTTGCATGCATAAACAGAAAATGAATGAGCTGAAATATAGTTTACATTAAAATAAAAGCAGAAAAGGAAGAAAATAAATATGGTTATCAGAGAACCAATGCTTCTACATTTTCGAATTTGGTTATTTTTATTCGATGCGAAATGCTAATGAACATAACTTTAACACAATTTATTCATCATATTGTAATTAGAAAGACATTGTTAATAAATTTCTTTCTTCACAAGCATTTCAATTAAATAATTTCATAAAAATAAAGGAAATGTTAAATAAATAATGGATTATAAATTGGCTTTAAATTTAATTGCAGGTTTCGAAAACCATAACTGGTTAAAAAAAATTCTCGGAACCCCTGTGACCCTTTCAAGGAACCAGAGAGTTCCGCGGAACACCATTTAGGAACCTCTGTTCCAAACTATGAGAAATTTTTCAATATCAAAAGAATTTTTGGAAAGTTTAGAATTGTTTAAAATTTGTGGAAAATGTACTAATGCTTCAAAATTAATTAATAATAGGAAAATTCGCGAAAAGAGTCACTGTTCTTGCATTATCATATTTGCAAAAAAAAAGTTATTTTCGTAATTTCGGTTTTCGTTCTTCTTTTACCTTCTTTCTCTATAATATCCTTCATTTATAGTTTCCCTCAACTTTTTTGAATGCTGGAAGATGGATGCGCTCATTATTAACGGTTGGATTAGTTGATCCGCTAAGGAAAAAGTTTTTCCTTTTTCCTATTCTATTTGTTTCTTGTTTTGCTTTATTTTAAAATAAATTAGTCTCCATTCTCTGAATACTGGGATGCCAACTGCACCACTTTCACTAATAGATTTTAAGAAGTGAAAGAGACAGTGACGTAGCGAGCTTAACTCGCGCCCGGGGCATAATACCCTTTTAGCTCCCCCCCCATTCGAAAACCATATTATATTATATGTAAAATATACTCGCAAATTAATAAATAAATAAAGTAAAATAAATAAAGTCGTAGACTCAAGCTAGGCTTTAAATTTGAGACAAAAAATGTAGTTGAGAGAACAAGACTAGATTTTGAAATGTATATGATCATCTAGAATTAGTTCAAAAAATATCCTATTATTTATTTTACATATTTATAAAGAAATATTTTAAAAACACGCAGTTTTAAAACAATAAAAAAGTAAATATTTATTATCTCTAAGGAGATACATATATTTAATAATCATATGATTATAATACATTTATAAAATTAATTACTGTATCTAAATTTTCCGTGCTTTTGATGAAGCAATGTATCAATAATATCATCAAAATTGATCATTTAAAATTTTTCTCTTTCCACACTTAAAAATGCGAGGTCACTTAGATGATCTGTCAAAATTAATTTTAATTTGCTGAATGAACGTTCGCAGCTAGCAATTGATACTGAGATAGTCAGGAGTATTTGAAATACCGCTCTCAGATTTGGAAAAACATCTTCTCCATTCGAGATCGATTATAAAAGTAAGAAATTCTAATGGAGTTTTAGGTTTAATTTCTTTTCTACTGCGGAGTAACATTTTGCTGTCACATATTTTGATAAAAAGTTCTATTGCATTGAAATCTGTATTATAAAATTCACCCAGATTTTTACAATTTTTTTTCAAGGTCGTTATCAATTTTATACTTGTTTAATAAATTTTCAACGTCTAGTAGAAATCCAAATTTGAAATTAAGGTCACTTAATCGTGTAAATCGTGTACACATTTCTCGTTGGAGACGATCAAGAGTGTTTTTCATAACGCGAGAAATTTCACTTTCTGCGGAAAGACCACCATAGCCAATTCTCCAGGCACGTGTTGTTGTATCCATATCCCATTTTTCACAAAGAGACTCTGCTTTTTTTATTGCCTCTCTACAGAGCTTGTCTCAAATTTCGTCTAGTTCAGTCGCTAAAGATTCAAGATCATGGAACACTTCTCTAAAATTCATTCTAGGATCTTGTAATCTGAGCTGCACACGATCAATCCTTCTTAAGATTTCATACCAGAAATGAACTAAAGTTATAAAACTAAAGGTTAGTATATTTTGCAACAGAATTGTAGCTTCACTTCTGTTGTCACTTGTAGTGGTAGTGTGCTCTGCTAATTTTTCTATTAGTTCTTTTATATTCTCTAGCCCATAGATGATAACGATAACCGCTTGTATTCCGGCGCTCCATCGCGTTTCAGATGTGTGACCTGCCATCTGATCGCGGGTTCGAATCCTGCTCAGGGCATGGATGTTTCTTTCTCTTTCTCTGTGTTCTATGTCCTTTCTCTTTTGTGTGTGATTGTGTGAATGTGACACGCCCTATAAGCGGGTTTGTGGTTATGTGACGTGGGCGACGCTGCCCTACCACCGTGGCTTTGACACAGGTGCCCACTGGGTAACGAGAAGAGAGTAGCAGTTCTGGCATTCCTGTGGCCAATGTCCCAAGTGCCCGCCATTAAAAAAAAAATAATTATTAACTCTCTATTTCGAAAAGTTGTGATTCTGGGTAAAATCTACGCAAAATTTTAAGAAATGGGGATAAATATTTTGTACGACGGATGGAAATGTTATACATTTTGACTTCTGTTTAATTTTAAGAATTTAATTGGACAGTTTTAGTAACTAATTATACTTCATTTTATTAGCAAATATTTTCTGGTAACCATTGATTAGTAACTAAAACATTTCGTTTCCTAAATATCTTTTCTCTTTTAAATTTATTATTATTATTATTATTTTGTAACTGAAAAACCAAGATATATATCAAGTTCAATGTATTAAAGTTTGATTTTTTTTTCAATGGTTTCAATTTTTTTATTATTCCGATATCTAGCAATATTAGAAGTTCTCGGTAAAGTCAATAAATACCAAGATAAAAACCAAAACTTACATTAATGGTAATACCATTAATAAAAAAATTCTTCAACCATCATACTATGGAAACCATACGAGTAAAACATAGGCAATTTATGCTGTTCAAACAAAATAAAGGGGGGGAGGGGAAATGCAGCCCGAAATTTGATACCGAAGTTGTATAACTGTGGAAAAAGTCTACTTAATCCTTTAAAAAATACTACTCAGGAACACAGTGGCGTACGCAGAATTTTTTCAAGGGGGGTGTTCATAATTTTCTGAAACTACTAAAAGAAATTTGAATCTGTTATAAAGAACTATTATTTCCCTAATTTAGACAGCTTGACAATTTTGACTTTTTATTTAGACAACATTGTTTAGTTAAATTTTGATTTGATTTTTTAAGTTTAAGAACATAATGTAATATTTTCTCAAAAAAGTTTAATGTCATATGGGTGGAAAGTAACACTTTGAGGGCCACTTTCACATTCATCAGATTTTGTTACGCTAGAAACGTTTTCTTCAACGGAAATATCACATTTCTGTATAACAGAAAAACTTACATTGGCACTAGATGCTGTCACCTCACTAATTTCAGATCGTTATTTTTTCTCAAAATAATTAAAAATTGCTAAATTCTTGCGTTAAAAATTGTTAAATCCTTAAGATCCAAGAGCAGCAAATATATGTATATAATGGCACAGAAATATCCGCTATGCTACGATCTCAAA